ATTTTGTGTGGTGGTTACGAGATCGGTCAAATCTACTGAACCTATACACAGATTCGTTACTGAAAATAACAGATAAAATATAAAGTTGTTTCTTAAGAAAAGTTTGATAACTATCTGGACATTAAAAAGATTTCACCTGTGAAATTTGAAAATATTCTGATGTATAAAATTATTTTTAATCTCAAAATGAAAATTACATTGCATGCTGGATAGGCAACATGCAAAATGAAAAAAATAATAATGAGAAAAACATTGCTTTATAAACCTTAATTAAAAAATCTGATATTTTGCATACGAAAGCATTGTGATGTTTACTGATAATCTGCCAAATTTCATTAACATATGCTTACTAATTTAAAAGTTATAGCACGAAAACTATAACAGGCACAAAATGGTTATGAGGTCGGTCCCAGAGACCAAACCCATACTAAAAGTTAAGGAATTATTCAATATTTGCATTACAATATAGCAAAACAGAAGTAGCTGAAAAATTAAAAAACAAATTGAAATATAATGATTTGTGTATACACAGTTTAGTTAGTGTCATTTTTCTGTAGAAATTACTGCATGTACTTAAACAGTTGACATGAATTAGATTTAACACTAGGGTTAACATTTTCTTTCCCTAAAAATGTATTTCTAACAGATATTCATCTCTGTACACAGATAGTTATTTCGTTTTGAGTTTACACATTCTGCCTGAGAGATTTGCATGCTTCTAGCCTTGTGAAAACTTAATTTGTGATACTGAATGATGACATATCATACAGCAAAACCCTCCATCAATAGGAATGTAACACACCTCAATTAATACTCACCTCCATATACAGAGAGCTAGAATTCTTTGCTGGAGGAACTGCTGCAATGACTACCTTGAGAAGATGTTTGAAGTCCATGGGGTGTGGCACCCAATGGCATGGGCTCCATAGATATATCTTCACTGATATACAAGACTAGATTGTTGTTTGTTTGTTTTGAAACTTGAGCAAAGTTACATGATGGCTATCTTCACTTGCCATCCCTAATTTAGCAGTGAAAGACTAGAGGGAAGGCAGCTAGTCATCATCACGCACCACCAACTCTTGGGCTACTCGTTCAGCAACAAATAGTGGGATTGAGGGTCACATTATAACACCTCCACAACTGAAAAGGCAAGCATGAGTGGGATGGGGATCTGAATCCACGACCCTCATATTGCGAGTAAAGCATCCTAATAACCTGGCCATGCCAGGCCCATAAGAGGAGAAGAGGCTGAAAAACCAAAAATTTGTTGCAAGGATGGGCAGAACTGGTAAACAACCATCTGAGTACTCAAAACACAAGCCATCAGATGGCCAAAACGTGTAGTGAGGTTTGGGTTGAATCAGCCCTTACCTTGTGTGCTCACCTCCTCTACCATCAGACTTGATGGGTCAAAACGAGCTGTGGAAGAAGGGCACTTGTGACAAATGTCCATGCTTACCTCTTCAACTGTCAGTCACCACAGTCCAATGCCAGTTGCAGGAGAAGGGCACTGTATTTCAGTATGTCATTATGGATATTTATGTAATCTATATTCAACAATTAGTCGCTATGGACCCCTTGCAGGCTGTGGGAGTAGGGTGTGTGAGTGATACATCACAGTTGTATAGGGATTGGTTCATCTACTCAATCATCAGACTCAGTGGGCTCATGCCAGCTGCAGGAGTAGGAACTGTGAGAGTAAATGAGTGATACAGTTACAAGCATCCACAATCTACTTGGAAATTGTGATGTATCTAATAAATATATATGTATGTGGTGTTAACCAGACAACATTCCAGAAACACTTCAGCCCCACTTTTCACCATATAGGGACCACTTTGTTCTATCCCCAGTGGTTTGGTTCTAATGAGTAAGAACTCTGGATGGTTCACCACCCCAGTGGCTGGGAGCTGGTACGTGGCAAGGGTCTCCCATGCTCAAATTGATGAGGGGGTGAAATTTGCATAAGTGAGACCCAGAGAATCTGCCCAGATTCCCAATGGTCTCTCTGTCTGGAAAGGTCTTTTACTGGAGACAGTGCAATGAATGACTGAAAAACTCTGAAATTTGGTGATTAGAGGTGAGAGAAGTAGGCAGATACACAAACCTCAAGTGGCCTTGCAGAACACCCCATCTCACAATGGGCACATGTAGAGCCAGAGCAGACAGTATGTGTACTTTCCATTACCCTAGCTCAATGCAAGTTCTGGATAATTATACCCTGCGAAGTAACATAAGTGTCTAGTGGGATCCTCTAGTGATTGTGAGGCAAGAAATATATACATTCACCAACTGACAGACAGAAGATGGATTGAAGAATGGCTATGAGCACAAATCTAAATCCTACTAGTGGCAAGACAGCCAAGATATGCAAACAGTGCAAGGCTAGAAAGTATTGAGGGCCCAGGATTCAATGGCCCTTAAATGTGCTGATGTGCCCATAAAAAGTGTCTGCTAGGTAGTCGTGTGGCCCCTTAAAATCAAAAGAACCATTAAAAGTTTTGATTTCATATAAATTGAGCTGACCATTTCTCAACCAAGCAGAACTAATGACAAACCATGAATGGACCTTCCCAAATTTACAAAACACTCATCAGTCACGTACAATCAACAAATGTTGTCATTATGAATGGCCATGTAATTAAAGTAAATGCACTCTCATTAATCAAAATGCCATGACTTTGTCCAATACTCAAACTTTTTTGTATCATTGTAATGGAATTGATAAACAAAATTTCATTTATAAAATTTCAAATATAGAGTGATTATTTCAACTTTTATAAAGATGACTACTGTTTTTAATCAGAATGCTACTTTTTTAACGTTTTTATATACGACACCAAGCCTGCATCAAGGATCACACATTTGAAAGATGTACATAAATGTTCTTTTTTCCCAACACTTTCCAAACAATAGGCAAGTACAAATTGGAAACTTGTAAGTTGTTTGTAGAATCTATCTCACTGCACATACATTGTTTGTACATGTTAGAAAAAAAACACTTTGGAATCCAACTTTGCAGACTGCACTAACCAAAAATAAAAATATAATATTACTGTTTTTATCATAAAAGATATATATCATCAGAACCTTTTATTTGAAACCATATATGGCCATACACATGCTGAAAAATAACACATATGAGGATTAAATCATATTTTGTTTACCCTCAGTTCACTGGCCACAGTGCTCTAGTCCACCACTGTGGAACCTTAAGACTAAGTGTTTTGAGTAGCCTAATAACATGTCTAGTAAAAAATACCAACCACACACTTGGTCATTTCAAGCAAATAAATGATCCCTGGTTCTTGAATTATTACCTTCTATGTGACATAAGGAGTAAGTAACTAGACCTAAACATTACCATTTAAGTGTGTATGTTAAAAGAGTAAGTAACATGTCTAAATATTAACAGTTGTGTGCAGAGAAAAGATCAATGAACCATAACTAAACATCATATTCTAAGTAGTACATGAAAAAGAGTAATTAACCATGTTTAAAGATTATCATCTATGTGGACATGTTAAGAAATAAGTATTAGTACTAAACATTAACATCTACGTATACATGGCAAGGAATAATTAAGTAAGACTAAGCAATATTTTCCATATGTGCCTGTGAAGAAGAAATGAACTAGATTTAAGCATTACCTTCTATGTGGACATGTTAAGGAGTAATCAACCAGAACAAAACATTAACATCTATGTGTTACATGGCAAGGACTACTTAAGTAAGACTAAGCAATATTTTCCATATGTGCCTGTGAAGAAGAAATGAACTAGATTTAAGCATTACTTTCTATGTGGACATGTTAAGGAGTAATCAACCAGAACAAAACATTCACATCTATGTATACATGGCAAGGAATAATTAAGTAAGACTAAGCAATATTTTCCATATGTACCTGTGAAGAAGAAATGAACTAGATTTAAGCATTACCTTCTATGTGGACATGTTAAGGAGTAATCAACCAGAACAAAACATTAACATCTATGTGTTACATGTTAAGGAGTAATCAACCAGAACAAAACATTAACATCTATGTATACATGGCAAGGAATAATTAAGTAAGACTAAGCAATATTTTCCATATGTACCTGTAAAGAAGAAATGAACTAGATTTAAGCATTACCTTCTATGTGGACATGTTAAGGAGTAATCAACCAGAACAAAACATTAACATCTATGTGTTACATGGCAAGGACTAATTAAGTAAGACTAAGCAATATTTTCCATATGTACCTGTAAAGAAGAAATGAACTAGATTTAAGCATTACCTTCTATGTGGACATGTTAAGGAGTAATCAACCAGAACAAAACATTCACATCTATGTGTTACATGTTAAGGAGTAACTAACTTATGTGTTACATGTGAGAGAGTGATGAACTACAATTAAACATAATCTTCTATGTGGTACAAGTTAAAAAGTATTGAACTAGATCTAAGTGTTATATTGTATGTGGACATATTAAGAAGTAATAAATGATCTCTAAACATTAAATCCTGTGTAAGATGTTATTATGTAAACATGGTTAATGAAGTTCTATTAATTTTATTACATTAAATAACTTTTTTTCTTTACTTATCTCTCATTTTTTTATTATAACATTGTGAAAAAGTTTGCAATGTTTGATCACATATACATGTAGTTTTGCTAATATGCTATCCTCACCATCTGATGGTTTTTTGGAATCTCCTGATTTGAATGTTTGTTTTGAATCAGGTTTACTTGAATTTTTTATATCTTCTGTTGATTTAGATGTTTCAGACTTGCTTTTGCTTTGGATTTCCTTGTGCCCATTCTCACTGCTATTTGCAACATTTTTATTTTTATGTTTTTTTCTCCTGTTGTTTCTTTTTCTTAATCTTATTCTTCTCACATTTTTCCTTCCTGCCATCCATTTCATTACACTGCATGGCTTTTGCAAATGAATTGTTGTAATCTTCATTATCTTGAGAAACTATCTGATCATCATTGACAAAGCCGACTTCACTTTCATCGAGTTCTAATACATTTTTGTGCTTCGAAGCGTGACTTTCAGCCAGAACCTGCTGAAAGAAGTAATTCTCAGGAACAAAACCAGATGTTTGTTTTGTCTTTCTTTCCCATTTTTTCCTGCTTCGTTTGTCATTTCTTGTTTGAAAGTTCAAATCCAGACCATCGGTAAATATTTCTCCACTAAACTGCGAATGTTTTTCAGACAAATTTGGCTGAGGGCTATGGAATATCTCAGTTGAACCACCTGAAGAACCCACGCTTGATCCTCTAACTGAAGGGTTTTTCTGGTCATTTCTATCTACAACCTTTAAACTATCACTGGTTTTATTTTTTAATATCAACTGTGACGAAAGTTTTTGTTTAGTCGATACGGGAAGATCAACAGACTGTTGTGCTTGAATACTATATGCACTACCAGTACTTTCTCCCTCATCTTTAGATATGGGCTTGTACTGGTTATTTTTATTTTTACCCCTTCTTGGTCTATGTCTTTTCCTACCCTGTGTTTCCCTTCTATCAAGATAATTAATTTCCTCTTGATTATGCTGACAGGCTGTACCTGATAACATCACAGAGTTCTTTCCAATTTCAATTTGTTTTTCTTTTAAACTAGTTGCATTTATATCTGTTTTTATACTTGATGCTTTCTTCTGAGAATCTGTAGTCAAAAGCAGTGTTTTTAAATCATTTTCAATTTTTTGGCAAGCTTGCTGAGCTTCTGTTGACATTTTGGAAAATCTGTGGAAAACAAAAACATATATCAAATTTCTACATTTCAAGAAACTATTGTGTATGTCTCAATAAATTCATAAAAAAAAATAGTTTTCCATATTACAAATACAAGGAGTGATGGTTGTCAAAAATTAAGTTTACTGTGTAAGATGTTATTATGTAAACATGGTTAATGAAGTTCTATTAATTTTATTACATACTTCGAAAGCTGCATATATACATTAAGTAACTTTTTTTCTTTACTTATCTCTCATTTTTTTTATTATAACATTATTTTATTCAACATTTAAAGGGAAATATCATTTGAATGCTACTGTATTAAAATTTATTTTAAATAAAAAGAAAACTTCATCAGTACACTGGAAAAAAGTTTTGAAGTTTAGAGCTTATTTTAATATATACAAGCTTATTTAATTACAGCTTCTAAAATTAGCATTTACAAACACAGTATATTTTCTTAAGAAAACAAATTCTAAACTAGAATTATAAAGTATATCAACATTAGGCATTAATGTTGAAGGTTTAGCATTTTTATGTAAATTAAATTCTGTGCTTGACTGTTTCAGCATGTATTTGATATATTCAACTAATTAAAAATGGTTTGAAATCACTATAATCAAGAAGATAAATAACTCAATAAATGCACATTTAATGTATTACACTAGCATTAAATAACTGCATACATTTATTTGTATGAAAAATTTGAGCTCTGTTGTAGTCTTACGATTGACCACTTAATAATATGGTATGAAACAAAGTTGTTTTATTGATTTGATGTACGTGTCACTGAAAGAGATATAAAACAATAATGGGTACTAGAGCTGGACAATTTTATCAATATAATCAATTACCTTTGAGCAGCAATTACATCAATTAGTGTCTCTTAACTTAATTGATTAATTAAAATTATGGCTGATTGTCACAAAAATAATCAGCTAATTAGTTATTATTACCGGTGTCAGTTATTCCAATAATTGATTAATCAAAATAACAGTTAACTGAACTATCGGAATTAGGATTTCTGGTCACTTACCATTTTTAATTATTCCAACTGCTCAATAACTAAAAAAATAGCATTATGTTTGTATGTTGTTAAGTACAAAGCTATATTATGATTAGGAAGGTCCCTCATTATCTGAAGGTCTTTGGTTTGATTCCCATTGTAAGTGAACCTGCTCATCCTGTATTTGCTACTGTAAAGCTACCAAGGCTATCTGTAACTATGACTAAGTTTGAACTGCCGGTTAAAGGGAAGGCAACTAGCTGGCAGCACCCACTGCTAATTTTATGGCTACTTCGGTGTTAAATAAGTGTAAATTAACTTTCTTTATATATTGTATTATGTTTGTAATTTATAACTGATTAACTGTATACTTTAATGTTGTATAAGCAGGTGCAGATCTACAAGATGTTGGATCTGGACATCCTTCCACCTTTTTCAGTTAATAATATTACTTAGTATTATATAAGAAGGTGTGGATTTAGGGGAGGGGGCCAACCCCATCCCTTTTCCATAAATAATAAGTATATTTAATGTTGTATAAGCAGGCATGGATGTAGAGGAGTTTAAGTGTTTAAGACTCCCACCTCCATTTTTTTCAGGAATCACATTGTCTAATGCTGTGTAAACAAGAATGGATCCAAAGAAAGGGGTCAAGGTGGCCAAACCTCCATCCCATCTGTTTTTCAGAAATTAACAACTGTATCATTTAATATGTATATGTAATAACAAGTTTGGGGGAAGGGGTCAAAACCCCTTCCACTTCTTCAGTAATTAATAACAAAAACTGCAAAATTTCCTTCTGCTACCATAGTGTGTGTCAAACAAAAATATTAGAAGTCAATGTTTTTGTTTATTTGATCTTAATAACTGAAAATGCTTTTTTCTCAGATTTTCTGGAGTTAACACAGTTGGAATCCACAGCAACCTGCTTACGGCCTCAGCCAATAACCAATTATTTCTAAACATAAACATCAATTAAATGTTGCCATGGTAAAATGTCATGTTTTGACTTTTTTCAGACACTCTAACAATATGTTTAGAT